TATAAAAATACACAACATATCCCTCCAAACCACCAATATCCCAAACCCCCCCCCCCCATCCTTTAAAGTGCAGACATTGTACTTCCCATATCCAGGACTCAAGTCTGGCTATATAAAAATAACCAGTTTCCCCTGAATCCCTTCACTAAATATTACCCTGCTCGCACCAACAGCTCATCAGGTCCCAAATACCATTCATCTTCATTCACTCCTATCTAACACACTTATGCATGCTTACTGGAAGTCCAAGCCCCTCATCCACAAAACCTCCTTTACCCCCTCCCTCCAACCTTTTCAAGGATGACCCCTATACCCTGCCTTCCTTCCCCTTCAGATTTATATGCTCTCCATGTCATTCTACTTGGATCTATTCTCTCTAAATGAGCAAACCACCTCAACAACCTCTCTTCAGCCCTCTGACTAATACTTTTATTAACTCCACACCTTCTCCTAATTTCCACACTCTGAATTTTCTGCATAATACAGTGGACCCCCGCATAACGATCACCTCGGAATGCGACCAATTATGTAAGTGTATTTATGTAAGTGCGTTTGTACGTGTATGTTTGGGGGTCTGAAATGGACTAATCTACTTCACAATATTCCTTATGGGAGCAAATTCGGTCAGTACTGGCACCTGAACATACTTCTGGAGTGAAAAAATATCATTAACCGGGGTTCCACTGTATTTACACCACACATTACCCTTAGACAGGACATCTCCACTGCCTCCAACCGTCTCCTCGCTACAGTATTTGCAACTCAAGCTTCACACCCGTGTGTGTTAGTATCACTGTACTTTCAAACATTCTTGTCTCTGCCTCCATAGATAATGTTTTTTGTCTGCACATATACCTCAACGCACTACTCACATTTTTTTCCTTCATCAATTCTATGATTAACCTCATCCTTCATAAATCCATCCGCTGACATGTCAACTCCCAAATATCTGAAAACATTCACTTCTTCCATACTCCTCCTCTCCAATTTGATATCCAATTTTTCTTTATCTAAATCATTTGATACCCTCATCACCTTACTCTTTTCTATCTTCAGTTTCAACTTTCTACCTTTACACACACTCCCAAACTCATCCACTAACCTTTGCAATTTTTCTTTAGAATCTCCCATAAGCACAGTATCATCAGCAAAAAGTAACTGTGTCAATTCCCATTTTGTATTTGATTCCCCATAATTTAATCCCACCCCTCTCTTGAACACCCTAGCATTTACTTCTTTAACAACCCCATATATAAATATATTAAACAACCATGGTGACATTACACATCCCTGTCTAAGACCTACTTTTACGGGGAAGTAGTCTCCCTCTCTTCTACACACCCTAACCTGAGCCTCACTATCCTCATAAAAACTCTTTACAGCATTTAATAATTTACCACCTATTCCATATACTTGCAACATCTGCCACATTGCTCCTCTATCCACTCTATCATATGCCTTTTCTAAATCCATAAATGCAATAAAAACTTCCCTACCTTTATCTAAATACTGTTCACATATATGCTTCAATGTAAACACTTGATCTACACATCCCCTATCCACTCTGAAACCTCCTTGCTCATCAGCAGTCCTACATTCTGTCTTACCTCTAATTCTTTCAATTATAACCCTACCGTACACTTTTCCTGTATACTCAGTAAACTTATTCCTCTATAATTTTTACAATCTCTTTTGTCCCCCTTCCCTTTATATAAAGGGACTATACATGCTCTCCACCAATCCCTAGGTACCTTCCCCTCTTTCATACATTTATTAAAAAAAAGTACCAACCACTCCAACACTATATCCCCCCCCCCTCCTGCTTTTAACATTTGTCATGATCCCATCAGTTCCAGCTGCTTTACCCCTTTTCATTCTGCATAATGCCTCATGTATCTCCCCCATACTTACATTCTGCTCTTCTTCACCCCTAAAAGATGGTATACCTCCCTGTGCAGTGCATGAAATTACCGCCTCCCTTTCTTCCTTAACAATTAAAAGTTCCTCAAAATATTCTCGCCATCTACCTATATGTACCTCCATCTCCCCATCTACTAACTCCCCTACTCTGTTTTAACTGACAAATTCAGACGTTCCCTAGGCTTTCTTAATTTGCTTAACTCACTCCAAATTTTTTTCTTATTTTCATTAAAATTTCTTGACAGTGCCTCTCCCACTCTATCATCTGCTCTCCTTTTGCACTCTCTCACCACTCTCTTCACCTTTCTTTTACTCTCCATATTCTCTGCTCTTCTTATAACACTTCTGCTTTGTAAAAACCTCTCATAAGCTAACTTTTTCTCTTTTATCACACCCTTTACTTCATCATTCCACCAATCACATCCTTTTTTCCTCCTGCCCCCACCCTCCTATAACCACAAACTTCTGCCCCCACATTCTAATACTGCATTTTTAAAACTATTCCAACCCTCTTCAACCCCCCCCCCACTATTCTTTGCACTAGCCCACCTTTCTGCCTATAGTCGCTTATATCTCACCCGAACTTCCTCCTCCCTTAGTTTATACACTTTCACCTCCCTCTTACTTGTTGTTGCCACCTTCCTCTTGTCCCATCTACCTCTTACTCTACATGTATTAAACAAAAATACCAACCACTCTAACATTGTATCTTCCCCTGGTTTTAACATTTCTGTCATGATTCCATCAGTTCCAGCTGCTTTACCCCCTTTCATTCTACGTAATGCCTCACGCACCTCCCCCACACTTACATCCTGCTCTTCTTCACTCCTAAAAGATGGTATACCTCTCTGGCCACTGCATGAAATTACTACCTCCCTTTCTTCATCGACATTTAAAAGTCCTTCAAAATACTCCCGCCATCTACCCAATACCTCCATCTCCCCATCTACCAACTCCCCTACTGTTTTTAACTGACAAATCCATTCATTCTCTAGGCTTTCTTAACTTGTTTAACTCCAAATTTTTTTCTTATTTTCATTAAAATTATTTGACAGTGCCTCTCCCACTCTATCATCTGCTCTCCTTTTGCACTCTCTCACCACTCTCTTCACCTTTCTTTTACTCTCCATATACTCTGCTCTTCTTATAACACTTCTGCTTTGTAAAAACCTCTCATAAGCTAACTTTTTCTCTTTTATCACACCCTTTACTTCTTCATTCCACCAATCACTCCTCTTTCCTCCTGCACCCATCCTCCTATAACCACAAACTTCTGCCCCACATTCTAATAGTGCATTTTTAAAACTATTCCAACCCTCTTCAACTCCCCCACTACTCATACTTGCACTAGCCCACCTTTCTCCCAATAGTTGCTTATATCTCACCCGAACTTCGTCCTCCAATATTTTATACACTTTCACCTCTCTCTTGTTGCTATTTTCCTCTTGTCCCATCTACCTCTTACTCTAACTGTATTATTATAATCAAAAAGAAGTGCTAAGCCACAAGGGCTATACAGCACTCTAACTGTAGCTACAACTAAATAATGATCCAATATATCAATTGCCCCTCTGTAAACATGTACATCCTGGAACCAACCCATCAACCTTTTATCCACCAATACATAATCTAACTACTTTCATTACGTGCTATATCATACCTTGTATACTTATTTATCCTCTTTTTCATACACATAGCTCAATTAAAGGCTCCCCATTTTCATTTACCCCTGGCACCCCAGATTTACTACTCCCTCCACAACATTTTTACCCACTTCAGCATTGAAATCCCCAACCACAAGTACCCTCACACTTGGTTCAAAACTCCCCACACATTCACTCAATATTTCCCAAAATCTCTCTCTCCTCTACACTTCTCTCTTCTCCAGGTGCATATATGCTTACTATAACCCACTTTTCACATCCAACCTTTATTTTACTCCACATAATCCTTGGATTAATACATTTATACTCTTTTTCCTGCCATAGCTTATCCTTCAACATTATTGCTACTCCTTCTTTAGTTCTAACTCTTTTAGAAACCCCTGACCTAATCCCATTTATTCCTCTCCACTGAAACTCTCCCACCCCCTTCAGCTTTGTTTCACTTAAAGCCAGGACATCCAGCTTCTTCTCATTCATAACATCCACAATCATCTCTCTCTTATCATTCGCACAACATCCACGCACATTCAGACATCCCACTTTGAAAATTTTCTAATTATTCTTCTTTCAACACATCGGTCCGTATCCCACCGAGGCGGGGTGGCCCAAAAGGAAAAACGAAAGTTTCTCCTTTTACATTTAGTAATATATACAGGAGAAGGGGTTACTAACCCCTTGCTCCTGGCATTTTAGTCGCCTCTTACAACACGCATGGCTTACGGAGGAAAGATTCTTATTCCATTTCCTCATGGATATAAGAGGAAAAGTAATAAGAAACAAGAACTATTAAGATAAAATCAAAGAAAACTCAGATGAGTGTGTATAAATAAACATGTACATGTATGTGTAGTGTGACCTAAGTGTAAGTAGAAGTAGCAAGATGTACCTGTAATCTTGCATATTTATGAGACAGACAAGACACCAGCAATCCTACTGTCATGTAAAACAATTACAGGCTTTTGTTTTACACTCACTTGGCAGGATGGTAGTACCTCCCTGGTGGTTTCTGTCTACCAACCTACTACCTTAGTTATTCTTTAAAAAAATGTATTTTTTTGTGAATATTGTTGTGGGTCTGGAATGGATTAATTGTATACACATTTTTCTTAGGGGAAATATTGCTTTGCCTTTCAGCCGTTTCGAGTTTAGGCCTAGCTCCTGGAACGGATTACAGCCGAAACTCGGGGTTCCACTTAACACTGTTACAAAATGCGACATCTGTTAAGAGAAAATATCTCCAGAGAATACTTGAAGGTCAACTTATTGATTCCCCTCTAGTATCTAGCCAGTTTCTGGTTTTGTAACAGTTGGCAAAGTGTATTCTAGTCCAGTTATCCCATAAATTATGTGGTTTTGCAATAATGCTTTTAGGACTGCAATTTCAGTATTAGTAACTTAATAGTTATTTCCTTACAGATTAGAAAAGAAGTTTTGGGTGACCTAGCAACACCTCTATCTTGACATCCACGAGCCTCCACCAACCAGGCACGCCAAACATTGTGGAAGTTGCCACCGAGGATGCCAGTTCATGATCTTTAAAGAGGAATACTTATAAAGATCTTTATGTTGCTTCAAAAAAGGAAAAGATTTTGAAGGCATGTGATATTATTAAAATTTTCCTGCATTTACTGTATAGTACTACTGAGGTTTTTGTGACCTCAAAACAATTTTTAATTACAGTAGATTGTTGGATAACATGCAATCTGTTTACATGTTTTTGCTATAACACACTTGCAAAGTTGCAGCATAATTTTGGTGAACATGCAGTGGAATACATGTAAGGGAAAATATGGTACTTGCCACGTTCTTTCCCCTTCATCTCACAGTGAGCCTCAGTGAGTCTTAGGGGCTAGTGGGTGGGAGTGTGTGAGAGCTAGTGAGAGAGGACAGGGTACAGGGTTAAGAAGGATGAACGAAGGGGTGGGAGTGGTCCACAGGTGCATAACACTGGGGCCAGGAGCTATGAATCGACCCCTGCAACCACAAATGGGTGAGTACTGTTGTAACAGTAAACAGCAAAATAAACCCAGTAAAAAGCAGGGGCACCATTGGCACAGTATCAATGTCCTTGGCCCCAGACTATTCAGCATCTTACCAGGAGTTATCAGGAGCATTGATGGGATAAGTGTAGAAGTCCTCCATAGAAAACTGGACAAGTATCTTCACCTCAAGGCAGTAATAACCCAACAGAAAACTGCAGTAAGAATTATCAATGAATCCAATGCAAGACAACACACACTCCCACACACTGTCCACACCAACTGCTCATTCAGCTTTCCCCTCCCCTCCACCCCAGGGGTACACAACCTTTCTGCACACCCACCAACCTCACCCATACCACCTTCAAACCTCTACACATACCACCCGCCCCTGTAAATTCCCCATGGCCATTCGCCTTCACTCGCACCATCCCAACCAGAATCCAACCCCACACAATCCACCCGTACAGTTCCCCCTACTGCCACATGCCTATACCTACACTATTTCCCCCACTGCTACATTTCCCCATGATTTCATGCCCACACCTTTGACCTTTCACTCTAACACACCATCCCTATATCTCATTACTGTCTACACCACCAACCACACACTGACCCACCTGGTCACCAATCACCACACTCACCCACCCATTCACCAATTATCCAGTCACCACCTACACCAGGCAACTGACAACCACACCTTTCACCCACACTACTTCCCCACAGCTAACCCACATAGCTACATACCTACACCTTAACCATGGCCTGCACACCCTAACACACCACACCATTCACACCTAGTCACCCACCACCCTAACTACCAACTGCACTCACCCACCCAGTCACTCATCAACTATATCACCACCCACACTGGGCCACTGATACTGCCATTCACATGGCCAGACTCCAGTAGTAGAAAAACTCGGACCTCATCAAAAATATACTGCCTCATTGCTTCCAACATCCACCCCCACACCCTTCCACTGCCCAGCATCCTCTACCTCCCAACAGTAGCCTCCATCTCCTGGCCCCACCCCTCCACCCCCCACAACAGTAGTCCCCAATCCTCACCCCTTGGTCTCCTCTCCCCCACACCAAACCCACTAATCCAAACTACTCTAACCCCTCCTTTATAACACCATACAGTTGCAATGAGTAGGACAACCAAACAGGATCATTGACTAATGCACATCACCACATCCACCTACAGTTGCATTATTATCATTGTTTTTTCACAATTTTAAGATCTATAGAAAGTTTGGTTGGCTTTTTGTGGGGTATGATGAATGTAACCCTATTTTTCCTATGTGTTCTGCAGTTTATTTTACACATTTTTTTATTACATGCCGTTTTCAGGAACATAACTAGTGTGTTATCCGACAGTCAACTGTATCGTGTATTTGAGTAATATCATACAAGTTTAACTTGGCTGTCCAGTCTCTAATTACTATACAGTTTGAGTATTGCTGTTTCTGCTATTGTAATTAAATTCATATTTAAGATTTATGTCAATTGGAAAAACATTCTTTGAAAACTTTAACTTAAATTTGTTGAGTGGTATGTGTTATCAGTAACATCAGTGTGATAATCTCACATGAGATGCTAGACTCCACAGAAAGTATATTTAAGTTATGTGCAGTATCATAAAATATTTAATAAATAATTAAGCAACCTCAAGCAACAGTTGCAAAAAAAAAGTCATTTAATTGCCAGTAAATAAATTTTAAATTTTTTTACTATGCTTTCTGAGGTTAATTAGGCTGTTAAATTAACTTTAATCATTTATCTTTGCTTTTCACTATATTTGGGCAAGATGAACAGTTATAATGTAGAAACATTCAAAGAAGAAAAGGTGGAGTTTTGCTTTGTGTTTTGAGCCAGTTTGTTAGGCACTGATGATTAAACTTTCTAGTTCAATTTGTTGTCAAGTTGTCTAGTCTGATAGTGTGATACATAGTTCTAAAATATTTGTAGTGATATTGTAAACATAGTTTCTTAATTATCCTTTCTTCTTTCTTTCAACACACCGGCCGTATTCCACCACGGCGGGTGGCCCAAAAGGAAAAACAAAAGCTTCTCCTTTTACATTTAGTAATATATACAGGAGAAGGGGTTACTAGCCCCTTGCTCCCGGCATTTTAGTCGCCTCTTACAACACGCATGGCTTATGGAGGAAGAATTCTGTTCCACTTCTCCATGGAGAGAACAGGAAATAAACAAGAACAAGAACTAGTAAGAAAATAGAAGAAAACCCAGAGGGGTGTGTACATATATATATGCTTGTACATGTATGTGAAGTGTGACCTAAGTGTAAGTAGTAGTAGCAAGACGTACCTGAAATCATGCTTATGAGACAGAAAAATGGACACCAGCAATCCTACCATCATGTAAAACAATTACAGGCTTTCGTTTTACACTCACTTGGCAGGACAGTAGTACCTCCCTGGGCGGTTGCTGTCTACCAACCTACTACCTATAACTTTTGTTATTCTAGGTTAAATATACATAGTGTGCTTTTTGACTGAATTCCACTGTTAGTATCATCAAGTTTTTTGCTGGCAGGGAAGCTCATGGTGGCACAAGTCTTGACTGCATTATTTACATTGCTACTATGTTAATGTTACCCATGATGAACTGCCTGAATCTTTCTGGTGTGAGGTGGTAGACAACCCATACAGTTGTCTTGAGACCTAAATTGCTGGCAGGTAGCATATTCAAAGGCACAAAAAATACACTTACAAGCGTGGTGCACACAATTTGGCCCCCTGCAGATTAGAATGTCATCCACAGTTCAGGGGTTAAATTCTGTTTTCCATTTTGTATTTGTTGTTGGCATGTATTTATGCCTTCCATCATGTAAATAGCTCATAGAAAATGTCAGTGTACATCATCTTGTCATTATCAAAATACTCCTAAATAAAAATTTATTTGACTAAACTAAAAGTGAGGGAGTTCTTTCACCTGCATTATTTGAGAATCATAAAATGAAAACTTTAATGTATAAGGAGAAGCTGATAAGATGATGATATTTGAGGACTATCTTTGTGTATATCTTTAAATATCCACAAAACATGCTTTGGATGTTGAACATATTGATACACAGGAACCCTGTTGTCTGGAAGTACTCGATAGTAATTGTGCTCAGTTCTCTATGATTGTACAGCACCTTGTATAACTATTCGGGTAATATTAAAGGATAAGTCAGAGTACTATAGTTGGAACAATTCATCACTGAATCACAAAATGGAGGTAAAATTTGCATTGTTTGGGTCTATCCTGGACTTGAAAGATGGCTTAGGAGGAACCAAAAAATTGTCTAAGTTTCATCTCAATTTGTGGCTTGGTTGTGAATCAGGCAATGTTAATATTCTGGCAGCTTAACCATGCTGCAGCTCATATGGAGTAAAAATTTTGTCTGATTTTTTTCACATTGAGCTGTTCTCAGTTCATTACTAATAGCTGAATAGGAACACCAGGTGTAGAGTTTCTGATACATCTTGTTCTGCCTGGATATCAAACCTAAGACTTTTTCTGATGTGAACTGAATATTTCTGAGTGCCACAAATGATTTCCCAAAATAGCACCACCATCACTGTCACTTGTCAATTGCAATATTAGCCAAGATTTTACCATTTTTATATTTACTGTACCTGTTTGTCATTGCAGCTTTCTTATTTGCTAGTTTGCATCTTTCATGGCAGTGTCACCCAAAAATGACTTGGCCACTTGCCAATTTGCTTTACTCTATCATGTATCACAAAGCTATATTCTTCTTTAGGCAAACTGGTCGTATCCCACCAAAGCAGGGTAGCCCAAAAAGAAAAACAAAAGTTTCTCTTTTTAACTTTAGTAAAGTATGCAAGAGAAGGGGTCACTAGCCCCTTGCACAAAGCTATATAATACCGAAAATTATGTAAATTAACGTGCAGTATTTGGAAACTTTAATTAGGATAAGTTTTGCTCACCAAGAGCTGTTTCAATCTAGTATTTACCCATGTTCTTTCTCATTTTGTGGACTAAAAATGCTCTTGGTGAATAAAGCATCTTTTAAGAATTTTAGCATTACTCGTCTCATTTATCATCTCATGTTTTCATGGGTATTATTAAAGATAATTATAAAAAAATTATCTTAATTTTCCTTCTGTTTTACATCAGTTACTTTGATCTTTTGTACAGTAAGCTCTCATATAAAGCTCCTTTATGCAGTACATTTTTTCTAAATGCAATTGAATATCACATGGAATGGCCTTCAGAGTACATGCTATTTGATTTTGGATGCACTTTTTCCAGTTGCATTTGCAAAAAAAAAAATCAATATACAGAGCAGCTTTATAAGAGCTTACTGTATATGCTAATTTTATGCATGTGTGATGTCATATTTATTTCATAGTAATTGGTGAAAACATGTTAATACAGTCAGTGCCCTTAGGAAAATAATTTTTTTAATCAAAATATTTGTCTTGAACAGGGAGGATAGGAGAGACAGAAAAAGGTAGGTAGTGAGGATGGATGAGTTGCTTAAAAGATTTGTGTGGTGGTAGAGTGGAGGCAATTCTGTCCTGTACAAGTATCCAGGACATTTACTACTACAGTTACTTGCAGAAATGAATGTTAGGGTTGTATGTCTTGGAGACTTATAAAGATTGTAGTGGGAATTACAGAGTAATGTTTATGGAAGATTAGAGCTTCACTGACAGCCTCTGCTTTTCCCGGTTTGTACAAGAGCAGTGGCTACACGTCTACTCAAGAGGGGTGTGTGCCTTAATGCTGGTGAGGGGGCTCTTAGTCCAAGAACTGGACTTGTTTGATCCTTTCTTGGATTAAACCTAAGTGCCTCATATTTCCCAGGCAGTATGTGACTGACCCCTATGGATGGAGGACTTTCATGTAAATATAATACACATTATAGATTGTTATTGTATCTTTTGGGATCTGCTAGGTCTGTAGAGGGTCATAAGCACCCTAAAGGCACTTAGGGGAGGTTGCCTTGATGCCAGTAAAGGAATCTTGATACTAGGAATTGAAGCTATGTACCTCCCTTTCCTTGAATCAAACTATCTCCTATGTTGACCTGTTTATGAATTCTCAGGGCTAGTTGCTATTGAAGTGTCGAGGATGTCTTGGGTTTTGTGCAGCTGTATCTTCACATGATGGTGGAGCTGGAAAAAGCCTGGAGGAAAATACAGCTTTGAGAAAACATAGCAGCTCCATGATTGTGTGTTATTAACTGTCTTTCCCTTCACATGATACAGTATGGCCCTTTTGGGCTTAAGTGTGCAACCCTTTCCTCTTGAATGTTATAAGTTTGCATCAAATTGGTTAGAAATTTTTAAAAAATATACATCTGCTCAAGACAGCAAGGGTTACCCCATTCCTCACAGGTGATCCAACTGATCTGAACAACTATAGACCTATATCAAACTTGCCCTTTCTAAAATATTTGAAAAAATAATACACAAACGACTTTACTCTTACCTTATATCCAGCAACATACTTAACCCTGCCAGTTTGGATTTAGACCAAAAAAAGTACGAATAATGTGATTATACAAATGCTTGAACTAATATACAGCCGCTCCTCAGCGCACACTGAGCACACAGACCTATTCTCTCACATGTAGGCCTACCAGATTTCTCCCACCAGATTTGAAGGCGCTAGAATTTTGGCGTAGTGTTATGGGACTGACACCGGCTTGCAAGCCAGTGTCAGGACCGACGGTGAAAAGGTTAAGCCATCCACCAACAAAATACCTTTCATCAGTAGATGTCTAGAGGAGTCAAATGCGATGTTTGCAGCCTTCACAGAGACTCGACACAAAAGATCACTTTGGCAATGAAATATGGATTAATGGGTACAACCTTTTGAGATGCAACAGAAAGAACAGGGAATGTTGGCCTGTACATCAAAGAGTCACTCATTTGCACAGATGCTGAACACCACAAGTGATGTACTTGAAGTTCTAAATAAAGATCAAGAACCAAAATCAAGTCATCATGGTTGTATATAAACCACCAAATGCAACCTCCGAACAGTTCGAGTAACAGCTATTAAATATTAATTACCATCTGGAAAGCCTTCCAGCCCCATCCCCAAACATCTTACTGCTAGGTGATTTCAACCTAAAGCATACAAAATGGAAGAATGTAGCAAATAATGTTATAGCAGAAACAATCCCTGGAGGCAGTGCAAATGAAAAGTCACACGATCTACTAAATCTTTGCGATAAACACACCTTAAGTCAGCAGATAAGGGAGCCAACAAGACTGGAAAATACACTTGACCTTATCTTCACAAATAATGAGGACCTGGTATGAAACATAATATCAAAAACAACTAATTCCAATTGCAATCTAATCAAAGTTCAGACTTAAATGCACAAGGGTCCTGACCAGCAAAATGCATGTAGCTGTGAAGGAGTCTTCACCAAATACAGTTTCAACAACAAAATCATCAACTGGGATCAGGTGAACCATGTCTTAAATGAAACATGTTGGGAAGATATTTTAAATAACATGGATCCAAACCAGTGCCTAGCAGCTGAAGTATGTTCAGGGTATATTACCCTAAGAAAGAAAAGAAGTAAACTGGAGAAAGATGCCCCCTCAACAGAAGAAGACAATGAATCGCTAACCTCCTCAAGAATGTTATAATCTGATACATGGAAGGAAGTGCTGACCAGATAAGTGGAAAGTATCAAACTTAAGTTAAAGGATTCATACAGGATCCAGGAGCTAAATTTAAGCAATTAGTGAAATTGAAAGAAATTCGAATTATATCTTTTTATAACCAAAAAGCTGTATAGCCCTTGTGGCTTAGCGCTTCTTTTTGATTATAATAATATAACCAAAAAAACAAGACAAAAACCACATGTAGTATCAGGCCCTTGCTCAGACAAGATGGGACTTGCACAGATGACAACAAAGAAATGAGTGAGATACTGAAATCCCAATACGACTCAGTGTCCCACTAATCAGTTTAAAGTTCAACAATCCAAATGATTTTTTCACAAAAACTCCATCAATGTATGCCAAATTTCTGACATTACCCTAACTCCAATAGACTTTCAGAAAGCCACTGACAACTTGCCCATGTACTCAGCCCCAGGCCCAGACTCATGGAACTCTGTGTTCATTAAGAATTTCTGCAAGAAACCCCTTTTGCATGCCCTAAGTATACTATGGAGAAAGAGCTTAGACATGGGTAAAATTCCAGGCACTAAAAACTGGATATAGCCCCACTCCATAAAGGCAGCAGCTAAGAACTATAGACCAATAGCTCTAACGTCCCACATCATAGAAATCTTTGAAAGAATACTAAGAAACATGATTTTTTTGTTTTAATACTTCTGGGTGTCAGGAACGGATTAATTGTATTTACATTATTTCTTATGGGGAAAATTGATTCGAAAATCGTCTATTTCGATAATAGTCCCACTTCCAGAAACGGATTAAGGACGATTACTGAGGGACCACTGTACATCAAATTTTTGTAGAGATTTAGCTGGACACAGGGAATGCCATAGAGATTTTTGTGTCTGATATTGTGTCTATGGGTCCGGTTGGTTCTGTAAATGTAGGTTGCACAGTAGTAGGTGTGAATGTTCTGTACAGTAAGTTTAGGTCTTTGAAGAGTGGGTTGGGGGGTGTATTGCCTAACACTGGATTGTGTGATTATTCTTACTGCAGCTTTTTGTTGGGTATTGTTATTGGCTTTAGGTGGGTTGCTGCTGTTGATCCCCAAGCACACAGCATAGGTGAGGTAGGGATAGACGAGCGAATAGTATGTGAGTAGGGCTGATTGTGGAGGATCTCAACCATTTTGGATACTTGTTTGTTATGTGTTGGATATGGGTGTTGAATTTCAGGTTGCTGTCAAGGTGCAGGCCCAGGAATATGCCCTCATTATGTTTAGCAATAAGAGTGCTGTCAATCATAATGTTCAGCTGAGCTACACCTGCTCTGCTAATGTAACACATGATTTAAATGCAGTTCATATCAGGTATTTTACAAGATAAAAATAACAAATATTAATGAGTACAGTACCATTATTTAGTGAATTGTAATGTTTTGGTTTGCAATTTTCCATTAATTTTTCAGGGGCTGTTAAATCAGTGAGGACGTGTCGAGTGTGCTCTCTATGGACTGAACCAAGATGCCCTCCATCGAGCAACTTTACCAACAGCTTAAGGAAGAATTGAGGATAGTGAAGATGGAGATTCGGCGATTGACTGAGGAAAACAAGAGGATTCATAGTAGTCCTCCTGTTTTGAGTCCTCAGGTCAAGAAGGGAAACTGGACAGTGGCTGGACAGCATAGAACGAAGTTGACGATCAAGAAGACAAGTGGAAAGGTAGAAACGATTAAGAAGAAAGAGACTGCTGTGGAAACTGTTGTGGAAACATCTAATGCATTCTCCGTGCTACCCGACGAATGTGAGTTGACTACTGGGAACGTCACAATGATGGACACCAAGGAAGGTAAGAATATTGTTGTTGTTGGGGATAGCCAAGTTAGGTACATGGATAGGGCATTCTGCTTGAAGGACAAACGTAGGAGACAGAGGGTTTGTTTTCCTGGGGCTGGGATGAAGGATATTGTTAGCCATCTGGATGACATCATGAGAGGTAATGGGAGCAATCCTATTATCTGTCTCAGTGCTGGAGGCAACGATGTTGGCAGATGTAGGGGTAAGGACCTGATTAGCAGGTGTAGGTCAGCAATAGAAATAATTAGGAGGAAGGGTGGGAACCCTGTCATATGTGGTATTTTGCCAAGGAGAGGAGTTGGAAATGAATGGTTGTCCAGGGCAATTGGTGTCAATTGCTGGCTGGACAAATACTGTAAGGAAAATGCGGTAACATTCACTGACAACTGGGACCTCTTCTATGGCAGAAATGACATGTATGCCAGGGATGGGGTTCACTTACCTAGGTCTGGGGTGGGAGCACTGGCCAACGCAGTGGAGGGAGCTGTTAGGACTTTAAACTAGGAATAGTTAGTGGTATGGGTTTTGGTGGGAAAACAGTGAAGTCCCAGTGTAGTAATATTATGAGTTCTAGGGGAACTAGTAATAAGAAGAACGAGGTACATATTGAAAAGCCAGTGACACTAGGTGATAAGGGCAGTAATAGGTTTAGTAGAAAAACAGAAATGAGCAGGAAGAGTAAAGAGAAAGGAGGGTCTTTCAATGTATATTATGCTAATAGCCGTAGTGCTAGGAATAAGATGGACGAGTTGAGATTAGTTGCTAGTGCAGGTAACATTGATGTATTTGCCTTAACTGAGACGTGGTTTAATTCAAAATGTCGGGACATGCCTGCAGAATGTCACATTCAGGGTTTTAAATTGTTCCAAGTAGATAGAAGTATCGGGAAGGGGGGTGGGGTGGCATTGTATGTCCGAGATCGCTTGAACTGTTGCATAAAAACGGGTATTAAGTTTGAAGTAGCACAGAGTCTGTTTGGATAGAATTTTCAGAGGGGCATGAAAAATTGATTTTAGGTGTGATATACCGTCCCCCAAACTTAGATAGGGACCAAGGGAGACTACTATGGGAGGAAATTGTCAAGGCCACAAGGCACGATAATGTAGTAATTCTAGGAGACTTTAACTTTAGTCATATTGATTGGAATTTCTTGACTGGGAATTTAGAATCATACGACTTCTTAGAAGTAGTTCAGGATTGTTTTTTGAAGCAGTTTGTGACAGAACCTACAAGGGGAAATAACCTGCTTGACTTAGTTCTGGCAAACAATGAATCCCTTGTTAATAATTTAGAAATTTCAGAGGAACTTGGTGCTAGCAACCACAAATCAGTTACATTTAGCATTGAATGGAAGCATGATAGTAGGGATAACTCAGTAACAGTCCCAGATTTTCGCTTAGCAGATTACGATGGGCTTAGAGAACACTTATCATCTGTTGACTGAGGTAACGAAGAGAACTATCAATATGACAGTTTTCTGAACACTATACATGCTGCCCAAAGAACATTTATACCTTATAAAGAAATTAGATCAAACAGAAATGATCCAAAATAGATGAATAATAGGCTCAAATATCTTTTAGGACAGAAGAATGGAATTTATAGGCATATCAAAAGAGGTGAGGGTCATCTTATGAATCAATATATTGACATAAAGAGGGACGTTAAAAAGAGGATAAGAAAAGCTAAATGGGACTATGAAATTAAAGTTGCCAGGGATTCGAAAACTAACCCAAAAAGTTTTTTCCAGGTTTATAGAACAAAAGTTAGAGATAAGATAGGTCCCCTTAAAAATAACTCACTGACAAGGAGAATGAAATGTGCTCTATTCTTAATAATTATTTTCTCTTGGTTTTCACTCAGGAAGACACTAACAATATCCCAGTAATTAATTTTTATAGTGGGCCTGATGATGATAAATTATGCAATATCACAATCACTACTGAATTGGTTATCAAACAAATAGACCGGTTAAAGCAAAATAAATCCCCGGGCCCTTCAGGGCCCGGGGATTTATTTCAAGGGTTCTTAAAGAGTGTAAAATGGAACTTTGTGAACCATTGGCTAATATTTTTAATATTTCTCTTCAAACAGGTGTAGTGTCTGATATGTGGAAGATGGCTAATGTAATTCCTATTTTTAAAGCAGGGGATAAGCCGTTGCCGTCAAATTACCGCCCAATAAGCCTAACCTCAATTGTAGGCAAATTACTAGTCAATTATAGCTGATAATATAAGAAGCCATCTCGATAGGCATAATTTGATTAATGATGCTCAACATGGTTTCACCAGGGGCCGTTCCTGCCTAACTAATTTATTAACCTTCTTCAGCAAAGCCTTTGAGGCCGTTGATCAGGATAAAGAATTCAATATTGTTTATTTAGATTTTAGTATGGCTTTTGATAGAGTACCGCACCAGAGATTGTTAAAGAAAGTGGCAGCTCATGGCATTGGGAGAAAAGTGCTGTCATGGATCGAGTCATGGCTCACTAATAGGAAGCAGAGAGTATGCTTAAATAAGGTTCAATCCGAGTGGGGATCTGTAACAAGTGGCTTACCACAGGGATCAGTCTTAGGCCCGTTGTTATTTATAATATAAATCAATGACCTTGATGAGGGTATTACTAGTGATATGAGCAAATTCGCCAATGACACAAAGATAGGTAGGATAATTGATTCAAACGTAGATGTTAGGGAACTTCAGAAGGTTTTAGACAAACTCTATTCTTGGTCAGAAAAGTGGCAGATGCAGTTCAATGTAGATAAATGCAAGGTACTGAAGCTCGGGAGTGTCCATAACCCTAGCACTTATACGTTAAATAATGTAGAACTTAGCCATACAGATTGCGAAAAGGACTTGGCCAAGGGTTATGGTGAGCAGCAACCTTAAACCAAGACAGCAGTGCCTAAGCATATGTAATAAGGCAAATAGAATACTGGGATTTATATCAAGAAGTGTAAGCAACAGAAGTCCAGAAGTTATACTACAGCTTTATACATCATTAGTAAGGCCTCACCTAGATTATGCAGCTCAGTTCTGGTCTCCATATTACAGAATGGATATAAACTCATTAAAAAACATTCAGCGTAGAATGACTAAATTAATACATAGCATTAGAAATCTTCCTTATGAAGAAAGATTGAAGACTCTTAAATTACATTCACTTATTAGACGAAGAATGAGGGGAGACATGATCGAAGTGTATAAGTGGAAGATGGGTATTAATAAAGGGGATATTAATAAGGTCTTGAGGATGTCTCTCCAAGAGAGAACTCGCAGTAATGGATTTAAATTAGACAAGTTTAGATTTAGAAAGGATATAGGAAAGTATTGGTTTGGAAATAGGGTAGTTGATGAGTGGAACAGTCTACCTAGTTGGGTTATTGAGGCTAGGACTTTGGGTAGTTTCAAATTTAGGTTGGATAAATATATGAGTGAGAGGGGTTGGATTTGAGTGGGACTTGAAAATTAGTGGATAGAGTTATCAGAGCTTATTTCTTGGGTAGCATTGAAAACTGGGTTGGGCAGATGTTTTGTTAGTGGGATGGATTGTAAAGGACCTGCCTAGCATGGGCCAACAGGCCTACTGCAGTGATCCTCCTTTCTTATGTTCTTATCAAGGACCATAACATTGTATCAATCACATCTGCTAGAAAAATGACAGGATGGATAATGAGAACCTTCAAAACTAGGGAGGCCAAGCCCATGATGACACTCTTCAGGTCACTTGTTCTATCTAGGCTGGAATATTGCTGCACACTAACAGCACCTTTCAAGGCAGGTGAAATTGCTGACCTAGAAAATGTACAGAGAACCTTCACGGCGCGCATAACGGAGATAAAACACCTCAATTACTGGGAGCGCTTGAGGTTCCTAAAACTGCATTCCCTGGAATGCAGGCGGGAGAGATACATGATTATATACACCTGGAAAATCCTAGAGGGACTAGTACCGAACTTGCACACGAAAATCACTCGCTACGAAAGCAAAAGACTTGGCAGACGATGCAACATCCCCCAATGAAAAGCAGGGGTGTCACTAGCACGTTAAGAGACCATACAATAAGTGTCAGGGGCCCAAGACTGTTCAACTGCCTCCCAGCATACATAAGGGGGATTACCAACAGACCCCTGGCAGTCTTCAAGCTGGCACTGGACAAGCACTTAAAGTCGGTTCCTGACCAGCCGGGCTGTGGCTCGTATGTTGGTTTGCATGCAGCCAGCAGCAACAGCCTGGTTGATCAGGCTCTGATCCACCAGGAGGCCTGGTCACAGACCGGGCCGCGGGGGGCGTTGACCCCCGGAACTCTCTCCAGGTAAACTCCAGGTAGGCATGCTGAAAAAGGACTACTGAAATGGAGCAGCAGGTGACTAAGATAATTTACTTCTCCTGGATCAGTTAAACGTGATAAATTACAACCCCTGGTCTCCTAAAGATGCCTTTACAATGCCTTATCTTCAAAACATTAATTTTACAGTAACTTGATAGGGATGAACCTTAGTTTTTGTGCTTCATAAAGGTGTTTAGCATTTCACAATGCATCACTGGCTCCCCGATTTATTTATATGGTGCACACTGACCATGGAGACCCATGTGGGCCTACCAGCTTTCTCCTGCTTGATCTGAAGCCGCTAGAATTTTGGCGTATTAATACGTCAAACATGGTGGCAAGACGTATATATACGACCGTAACAGTCAAAGGGTTAAGTGAGGACAGGCTGTATACTACAAACTCTAATCATACAATACAGAGAAAAAATAATGTGAGGGACCTGTGAGTTGTAATGTCTGAGGATCTTGCTTTCAAGGATCGCAACAGTGCCACGATCACAACTGCAAAGAAAATGATAGGATGGATAATGAGAATGTTCAAAACAAAACATGCCAAGCCAATGATGATCCCTTTTAAATCACTTGTCCTCTCTAGGCTGGAATAATACTGTACATTAACATCTCCATTCAAAGCAGGTGAAATTGCAGATCTAGAGAATGTACAGAGAACCTTAGCTCCTGGGAATGCTTGGAAGCACTTGACTTGTACTCAATGGAACACAAGTAAGAGAGATATCAATCTACACTTGGAAAATCCTAAAAGGAATGGTCCCTAATCTACACACACAAATCACTCTTTAAAAGCAAAATACTTGGCAGGCAGTGCACAATACCCCCAATGAAAAGGTGCCACTGGTACACTAAGAGAAAACACAATAAGTGTCCAGGGCCCAAGACTGTTCAACAGCCTCCCACCATGCATAAGGGAAATTACCAGTAGACCCCTTGCTGTCTTCAAGAAGGAGATGGACAGATAATTAAAATCAGTGCAGGATCAGCCAGGCTGTGGTTTGTTAGACTGCATGTGGCCAGCAGTAACAGCCTGATTGATCAGGCTCTGATCCACTGAAAGGCCTGGTCATGGACTGGGCCGCAAGGGCAGTGATCCCCGGAATGCCCTCCAGGTATGGGTGGTGTAGTATAGCTGCAAAACATATTTTGGTGAACAAAAACACATTATTTAGGATATATTCTACTTTTTTAAATTTATATCACACTCGGGTTAAATTTCTCAGTTCTCAGGTGATACTACTAAAAATATGCTTTCATTTTTTAAGGGCCTTAAAATAACTTTCATACCATCAGTGGTAACCATGACTAGATATATGGGAAACTAGAGACAATAATGCCTAACATGTTACCTCTTGAAAGTTCTCATGAAAATGTTGATTATTATAATCAAAAAGAAGCGCTAAGCCACAAGGGCTATACAGCGCTGCATGAAAAAAAATGTTGAAACCACAAGCATATCAAGAGGCTGCGAAAATGTTGTGTTCCAATATATGCTGCACATTAAGTCACATTACATAACATTATGACTGGCCATTTTGTTAAACCTTGTATAAATACTTTATCTGAGTCACAACATTTTTACTCTTGAGCCCAATTTAAAGCAATATTATGAGCATTATCAAAGCTTATTACAGTATTCTTGGGATGAAAGTTGCCTAAAGGCTCTAACTTGAAGGGGAAAACAAATACAGTGGTCCCTTGAAGATGTATCATACCTCTAAACTATCATGACTCAAAACCTCAAAATACATAGTTTTATAGTAAATCATTCCAATACCCAGGCATCTTTTACTGTACCTTTGGACTTACATGTTCACAGATATAATTTGTAGGCACTGTATCTCCCTTTATCTGCTGCTCTCTTATCCACAAAAACAATGATCTCTCTTTCTCTATAATTTCTCTTCCTTTTTTCCACTAGCTTAGATTCATCAGCCACTTTAATACTTTTTGCTTGATAACAGATTGTGGAAACCCGTATTCATACACCAATGCAATAATTCTAATTCCATGCTTTGTCACAATTTCTTGCTTGATCTTCAGAGAAATTGCCTGTTTCTATGCACTTTACGAGTCATGATGACTTGTTAACACAAAAGATGGCATAGTTAAATCACAAATGTATGTAGTATCTCAAATTTATCTTTGTAACTCAAAACTAAATTCCTTCATGAGGGTAAATCGTAACTCAAGACCATTCGGACTCCAGAGACCACTAGATAAGTAAATTACTATGTCCAAATCATAACTTACATTACTTTCATACTTATTGTTGTCATTTAAGTACAGTGGAACCCTCGGTGTCGAAGCTAATTCATTCCAGAACGCTGCTCAAGTACCAAACAAATTTTTCCCAACTAATTTTCTTTTTGGTTGGCTGTTATCACTAATATTCTTAGGCCCCATGGTGACTTTTTCTTTTATTAACACACTGGCCATCTCACACCAAGGCAGGGTGGCTCAAAAAAGAAAAACTTTCATCATTCGCACCATCACAATCTTGCCAGAGGGGTGCTTACACTACGATTATAAAACTAACATTAACACCCCTCCTTCAGAGTGCAGACACTATTTCCCATCTCCAGGATTCAAGTCCAGCCTGCCAGTTTCTTTGAATCCCTTCATACATGTTACCTTGCTCACACTCCAACAGCACATCTAGTCCCATTTGCTCCTACAACATTCATGCATGCTTGCTGGAAGTCCAAGCCCCACGCACACAAAACCACCTTTACCCCCTCCCTCCAACCTTTCCTAGGCCAACCCCTACCCCGCCTTCCCTCCACTATAGATTTATACACTCTCGAAGTCATTCTATTTCCTTCTATCCTCTCTACATGTCTGAACCACGTCAACAACCCTTCCTCAGCCCTCTGGATAATAGTTTTGGTAATCCCACACCTCCTCCTAATTTCCAAACCACGAATTTTCTGCATTATATTCACAGCACACATTGCTCTCAGACATGACATCTCCACTGCCTCCAGCCTTCTCCTTGTTGCAACATTCAACACCCATGTTTCACACCCATATAAGAGTGTTGGTATAACTATACTCTCATACATTCCCACATTCCCCTCTTTGCTTCCATGGACAAAGTTCTTTGTCTCCACAGATTCCTAAGTGCACCATTCACTATTTTTCTCCTCATTAATTCTATGATTCACCTCATCTTTCATAGACCCATCTGCTAATACATCCACTCCTAAATATCTGAATATATTCACCTCCTCCATACTCTCCCTCCAATGTGATATCCAATCTTTCGTCATCTAATTTTTTTTGTCGTCATCACCTTACTCTTTCCTATATTCAGTTTTAATTTTCTTCCTTTACTTACCCAACCAAACTTATCTACCAACCTCTGCAACTTCTCTTCAGAATCTCCCAAAAGCATAGTGTCATCAGCAAAAAGCAACTGTGACAACTCAGACTATGTGTTAGATTCTTTATCTTTTAACCCCACACCTCTTGCCAACACCCGAGCATTCACTTCTCTTACAACCCCGTCTATAAATATATTGAATAACCATGCTGGCATCACATATCCTTGTCTAAGGCCTACTTTTACTGGGAAATAATCTCCCTCCTACATACTCTAACCTGAGCCCCACTATCCTTGTAAAAACTCTTCACTGATTTCAGTAACCTACCTCCTATTCCATACATTTGCAACGTCTGCCACATTGCTCCCCTATCCACCCTGTCATACTTCTCCAAATCCATAAATGCCACAAAAACCTCTCTATCCTTATCTAAATACTGTTCACCTACACCTACCATCTGACTTACTTCCGAGTTTGGTTCGGTAAGTCGAAATGGTCGTAAGTCAAACTTTACTACTGAATATCAAAATAACATTTTTGTAATGACTATTTTATTGTTTTATTTTGGTGTTTCATGTTTTACTTTACTTTTTATGCTGTTAGTACTGTATTTTATACTGTAAGGTTTAGGATAAACAGTGTGTACAACACAAACACTTGTTTATTTCCCAGAAATTTGGCATAAAAAAACACAGTCGTAAGTCGGATGGTAGGTATATTTCACTGTAAACACTTGGTCTACACACTCCCTACCTTTCCTAAAGCCTCCTTTGTTCATCTGCTATCCTGCTTTCTGTCTTGCTCTTAATTCTTTCAATAATAATTCTACCAAACACTTTACCAGGTATACTCAACAGACTTATTCCCCTATATTTTTTGCACTCTCTTTTGTCCCCTTTGCTCTTATACAAAGGAACTATGCATGCTCTGTGCCAATCCCTAGGTGGTAACTTATTTATACAAGTATAAAAAGAAAACCAAAAATGCAAAGAAACATGAAATAGTTTACAGCGAAGTTCCAGTAGGTCATGTTTGTTTGGTCATGTGCCGAACAAACGGTTGACTACCAAGTGATTTTTTTACCGAACAAAGTGTTCGAATACCGAATTGTTCGAGTAGGGAGCTGTTCAAGTACCGAGGTTCCACTGTAAATTATAATAAAAAAAGTCACATTATTTTCTGTGCCACCCTCCATAATAGTCTCATCAGAGCATTCAACAAAATACTTCAAACACTGCATTTTTTGTAATAAAATTATTCCTCATTAACTCTAACAATGAATTATAACAAAATTTCAATAAATGAAAATTCAACAACTATCCCAGTTCTATGACAAAAATATTAGTCATTGCTCAACAAAACCTTCGGTATTTGAAAAAAATGAGATACGCTTGTCGAATACAAAATAAATTTTAATAACAAAAAGACTCAAGAAAATATGTGCCCCTATTCATGTTCTGTTTTCTTGAGTACAGTGGTACCGAGAGTTTCATACAGCTCCCAGCTCAAACAATTATGTAAGTGTATTATTGTAAGTGCTTTTGTAAGTGTATTTTTGGGGGTCTGAAACGGACTAATCTAATTTACATTATTCCTCATGGGAATAAATTCATTCAGTAACGGCACTCGAACAGCCTTCTGGAACAAATTATGGCCGAAACTCGGGGTACCACTGTATTTTCATCATTACTGATTGGCTGTTGCCACAGTTTCATACACATTTTAATGTTAACTTCTAAAATCGTAATTACGTGCAAGAAAAAATGTCCATGGAAATCAGATCACAAGAAACTCCATTCGTATAATTTGGGCCTTTCTGACTTTTTTTTTCTTTTTTAACACATTGGCTGTCTCCCACTGAGGCAGAGTGACCCAAAAAGACGAAACAAAAGTTTTTCTTCTTTTTACAATAGCAATTTATACAAGAGAAGATGTTACTAACCCCTTGTTCCCTGCATTTTAGTCGTCTCTTACAACGAGCATGGCTTAGAGAGGAAGGATTCTTTTCCACTTCCCCATGGAGGCACTTCTGAAATCTCTCTCATAACTATCAAGATTGTAACTAGCCTCTGGTTACCCGGGCAGTATGGTAGTAAACCCTGATTTACAGCATTGCTGGTTAGGCAATTTTCATTTATGCATTAATGCAATACTAATCCTTTCTTAACCCTTAAACTCTCCACTTCACTTTTAAACTGAAAGCCCCACTTGTGTACACAGTTTTTAAAAAAATAATACTTTTGTGTTCTAAAATGGTGGAGAATCTTTAAAGGTACTGACAACAAAAATACAAAATTTGATATAATATTTATAGAATTAAGGTGTGAAGCTGGAGGTCAGGGAGCACTACACAACAGTGATTTCACAAAATTTGAATCCTATTTTAGGCCGATTCTAGAATTCAAACTAACCCCATTCCCAGCTAATTTGCTAGTATGTCTTCTGTACTATCTTCTGATTACACTGATTGGATGCACTGACTGCCCATTCAACCATCAGAGCTACTCTTATTTACCCTTTCAGGGTCAGCAGGCCCTCTGCTAGTTCAAAGGGTCGGAAATTTTTCGAAAAAAAAAAAAAATTATTTTTTCTTGTGAAATGACAGAGAATCTTTTCCCGATCATAGTGACACCAAAAGTAAAAAATTTGATGGAAACCTTACGGAATTATGCTCTCCCAAAGTTAGCAGTCTCGACAATGTTTACGCATAGGCGATTTCACCCACTTTGAGCCCTATTTTCGGCCAATTCCAACATACCAGTCGACAAAAATCATAACCATTTCGCTAGAACTCCATTTTGTCTATCGAATGAATACAAGAAACCACCCATTTACCAATTTCAACTATCCAATAAAATGGTCAGAAATTAGCAATTTTGCCAATTTCACACAAATTTCAAAAGAGGCCAATTTCCAAATAGGGTCCAGAATAAACAAGACAGACATTCCTGGCACTAAAATAACATTTTCTCTGTTCATTAGTCATGTCCCTAGGCCTCTGTTACATTTCTTTTACTTTCCACTTTGAATTTTTATTCTCACAAAAAATAAAAGATTTACTGTTATGCAGTCTACTGCATTAGTGTAGAAATGGTATAAATAATATCAACGCACTTGTGAAAGAATATCAGATTCGCTAGTTGACGTGTATTGGACACACAACATGATTTGTTTACTTTTGAATTTTGGCAAAAATCAAACATTTCTGCTACTTTGAGCTCAATTTCAAGGTCCTTTTCTTTGTGAAACCAATCAAAATCATCTCAATTTCTGTAATATGTCTTCCATTCTATAAAATGAGACCAGGAAAGCTAGAATACAACCATAAATAGCATACGAAAATTCACTGCAAAGTCGCTGTTTTAATCCAAAAACACGGTCGGAGTTTTTTTTTCCTCGTTATGCACTGTGTGCTGCAGGATTTTTTTTATACTGCACACACTGACCACATAGACCCGTTCTTTCATATGTATGCCTACCAGCTTTCTCTTGCTAGATTTGAAGGCGCTAGAATTTATGTGTACTAGTATGGCACCAACCCTGGTGTGCAAGCCGTACTAGTACGGCACCAACCCTGAAAGGGTTAATAAAGTACTTACAATCTGTCAATTTGACCAAATACAATTTTTGGAAATAATTTAATTTACAGACTTCAAAACACTGAAGACATTCCAGTCACTAAAGCAACTTTCTCTCTGCTCATTAATTACATTCTCAGTCCTATATATTACGTATTATTATTATAATCAAAAAGAAGCGCTAAGCCACAAGGGCTATACAGCGCTGCAGGGTAGGGAAGGAAGCGAGGGTATTGGATGGCAGAAGGGAGGAGGGATGATCAGTAGGTTACAAAAAACAGCGGGGCAGGGGATAGTACGGGGGTAGCAAGAGATTCAAGTAGAAAGGGCTGAAGGTATCAGAATTTGTGAAGTCAGTCAGTTGTTGTCAAAAAGTCAATGAGAGAGTCTGGATGAAAGGTGGGTCCATCAGCGAGAAGGGAAGGTAAAGAGAGAGCAGCAGAGCGAAGATGACGAC